CCCGCGGGGGTCCCGGGGACTCCCACACACACACACACACACACACACACACGTCCAGCATGCTGGGCCCAGATACAAGCTGCTATCAGCCATGTGGGACCTGGCCCCTTAGTCACTAAGCCATTGACACTCCCATATGGTTAGTCTTTTTTTTCTTTTTTAAGAGAGATTTTTTTTTTTTGAGAGGTTTTTGCTATAGGGCGCGTGCGCTCGCCAGACAGACAGAGAGAGACAGAGAGACAGAAAGTGAGAAATCACCCCCCAAGGGGGATGGTCACGCCGCAATCCCTTCTCCTCCATTCTCCTCTCGGGACCTTGGGCACGCGTGCACACATGCCCGGTGTGAATTTTAAGCCACCGGATCCGGGACGTTAACCGCGGTCGACTATGTGGGAGTCCAGCGACATAGCCATTACACTAACTGCTGGTTCTCAAAGAGAGATTTTTGCTATAGGGCTCGTGCTTTCACTGGAGAGTTGGAGACAGAGAGACAGAAAACGAGAAATAACATCTCCCCGAGGAGGGATGGCCACACCACGGTCCCTGCTCCTCCATTCCCCTTTTGGGAGTTTGGGCATGCATGCACATGTGCCAAGCTGGAGTTCCAAGTTGTTTGGTCTGGGATTCGAACTGCAGTCGACCATGTGGGAGTCCAGTGACGTAATCATTACACCATCTGCTGGTCCCTATTGTTAGTCTTTTAAATGGAGATGTTTAATAGACTTCTACTCGTGAAGAACTTTTTTTTTTTTTGGAGAGGTTTTTGCTATAGGGCGTGTACGCTGGCCAGACAGAAAGAGACCGAGAGACAGAAAGCGAGAAATCACCCCCCCCCCCGGGGGTGATGGCCACGCCACAATCTCTTCTTTCTCCTCTCGGGATCTTGCCCTTTTCCTCCATTCTCCTCTCGGGGGATCTTGGGCACGCACGCGCACACGCGCCCATCATGAGTTTAAGCCACCAGCTCCGGGACTCGAAGTGCGGTCAACTACATGGGAGTCCAGCGACATAGCCATTACGCTAACTACTGGTCCCGTGAGGAACTTTTAAAAGTTTATCCCCCATTTAAAAATATAAGTCACTGTCTTACTGACTTTTGAGAATTCTTTAGATATTCTGGATGTGACTTTGGTCTCCTTGTAGAGTACAGCGTCTTCCATCCTGGCTTTCCTTTTTACCCGCCCTTTTTTTTTTGGAGGTTTTGCCTTAGGGTACATGGGCTTGCTGAGAGAGAGAGAGAGAAAGAGAGAGAGAGAGAGAAATCACTCCTCGGGGGATAGCCACATTATAATCCCTTCTCTATTCTCCTCCTGGGATCTTGGGCATGCAGATGTGTGCAGTGTGAGTTTCAAGCCACGGGATCTGGGATTTGAACTGTAGTTGGCCATGTGAGAGTCCAGCAACATAACCACTACACCATGTACTGGCCCTGCCTTTTCACTTTCCAGTGGCTTATTTTGATGAGCAGAAATTTTTTACTTTAATGAAATAAAATCTCATTCTTTTCCTGTTATTGTTTATTTTTTACTTCTATGTTCGTTTAGATAATCAGTTTGAATATAGCAAAAACACTTTTTCTATGATTTAGTGTAAGCTGCCGTGTGTTCTCACTTGAAGTTTACAGCTTTTCTGTTTCAATATATATAATCCATTATAGTTCTTAGACTATATATAGAAATGTAATATTTATTTTTATTTTTAGTAAATACAATAGTTGATGTCTATACAGTTGAACAAGTAAAGGCAAAAGCTTTGCAGAGTGAGGGAAAAGCCGACCCTTTTTTTGGCATTCTCTACGCTTACATCTCCACACTGAACATTGATGATGAAACTACAAAAGTAGTTCGGAATAGATGGTAAGGATCCAAATTACTTTTAACAAATTCATTTTTATAAGAAATGGTGTTAGTAAATGTAAGACCCTATAAGAAAGCTATTCCTGGACAAATAGTGATTATGAATTTGAGAGAAATGTATCAATAAACCATACTGAAAGTCTCCATGGCAAACTATTTGGATTAAAAAAGTTTTAGGGACCAGCAAATGGCGTAATGGTTATGTCACTGGACTCCCATGTAGTGGACTGTGGTTCAAGTCCCGGACCTGATGACTTAAAACGCATGCTGGGCCCATGTGTGTGCCCAAGATCCTGAGAGGAGAATAGAAGAGAAGGGATTGTGGTGTGGCCATTGCCCTGGGGGATGATTTCTCTCTGTCTCTCTGTCCCTCTGGCGAGCACACCCGCCCTATACCAAAATTTCTCCAAAGCAAAAACAGTTTTACTGAGGGGCCAGCAGATGGCATGGTGGCTAAGGTGCTGGGACTCCCAGTGGCAGACTGTGGCTCAAATTCTGGACCTGGCAGCTTGCTTTCTAGCTTTCTCTCTCTCTCTCTGGTGAGTGCATGTGCCCTGTAGCAAATTAAAGAATGATAGTAATGATAAATAAAATGAAATAATTATTTTTAAAAATTACTATTGCTTGGGCCAGTAGGCAGTATGGTGATTAAAGTGCTGGCCTTCTACGTGGTTGACTGTGATTTGAGTTCTGGACCTGGTGGCTTGAAAATCATGCCGGGCATGTGAGTGTGCGTGCCTAAAATCTCAGGAGGAGAATGGAGGAGAGAGGATTATGGCGTGGCCGTCCCTCCTAAGGGGTCATTTATTTTCCCTCTCACTCTCTCTCTCTGGTGAGCACATATGCCTTATGGCAAGAAAAAAGGAAAAAGTCTTAAATATTATTGTTTTTTAAAGTAAGATATAGTCCACTTTATTTCTGCAATCCTAAAATGTAAAGATATAAAACTTTTTTAGAAATCTTTTTGCTATAGGGCACATGTACTTGCCTGAGAGACAGAGACAGAGAGACAGAAAGTGAGAAATCACCCCCTCCCCCCCAGGGGGATGGCCATGCCGCAATCCTTTCTCCTCCATTCTCTTCTCAGGATTTTGGGCATGCACGAACATGTGCCTGGCGTGAGTTTTAAGCTGTCTGGGCTGGGACTTGAACCGCAGTCAACTATGTGGGAGTCCAGCAATGTAACCATTATGCCACCTGCTAGTCTCCTGTCATAAACTTTTTCTTTTTTTGAGAGGTTTATGCCATAGGGCGTGACAGAGACAGACAGAGAGACAGAAAGTGAGAAATCACCCCCCAGGGGGGATGGCCATGCCGCAATCCCTTCTCCTCCTTTCTCCTCTCGGGATGTTGGACCAACATGCACACACGCCCAGCGTTTGTTTAAGCCACCAGGTCTGGCACTTGAAGCATGGTCAACTACATGGGAATCCAGCGACATAGCCATCACGCTGACTACTGGTCCCACCTGTCAGAGACTTCTAGCTGGGATGAGGAGCTTGTTCTCTACGTTAGCAGAGAGCTTTTGCTCGCAGTGCCCTGTGGTAGTATAACGACAGTGTTCAAGACCTGACTGTCCAATTAATGGTGCATATGACTTCCAGCCTCTCCAAGGTCAGGGTTCGTACCTACTTGCATAGAAATTGCTCTCTGGGATCTTAGCTAAATGTTATTGCCAAAGTCTCCCTGTGGGTTATTTATTTATTTATTTTTTAAGATCCTGGGTTCAAGAGGTTACAGTAATTTTTTAAAAATAATTATTTTCTTTAACTTCATTTATCATTATTATTATTTTCCAGTCTGGGTCAGAGAGAGACAGAGAAAGAGAAGGAAAGTGAGAAAGCAAGCCACCAGGTCCAGGACTTGAACCACAGTCAACCATGTGGGAGTCTAGTGCCTTTAACTACCATGCCACCTGCTGGCCCCTCCCTGTGGGTTTTTGTCATGAAAATTTTTATTGAGGTAATTTTAGACTCACATGAAGTTATAAAGGTGACCTCCCCCTGTGTCTTTCGCTCAATCCCCCCAGTGGTAAGATTTGGCAAGGTATTTTTACATCATAGACAGAAAACTGACCTTCACTCAGCACAATGGTCTTGCGCACATCTCCCCAGATTTCCAGGCACTCATCTGTGTGTGAGCAGCTGTGGAACTCAGGCTTGCCGGGAAGATAAGACCAGCACAGCCACCCTAACTGGAAGGGCATGACAGAGCGCAAGGCAGCGCTGAGCAAAGCTCTGCCCGTGTTCCAGGAAGGGGAGGAGTGTGGTGGTGTGGGGAGGGAAGCCTCCAGCAGGGAAATGAGCCCGCACTGGAGCTCAAGGGCAGGGCAGGGACCCCAGCAGAGGAGATGGAGGGAGGCAGGACAGTGAGAGGACAGGGTACCCGGTTTCAGGGAAATCACAAGGAAACACCTGTGCATTGTTTCTTCTGTTTTGTAGCCTGACCGCACTGAGCAATCAGTTAGTGCCTCACCTGCGGGCTTAGGCTTTTAAGTGATAATTTTGCTAGCAATGAAATCTGTCACTTAGGGCTGCCACATTTTACCACTGTCCTTGTCTCTCCTAGTTCCAGCTGTGGCTACAAAGTAAAAGAAGCATCTGAGCCATGCACAACTTGCAACCGAGATCCTGCAGAATTTAGATCTGCGACTCTCAGCTTTGACATGCTGATTGATCTTACTGACCACACAGGTACCCTCCACTCCTGCAGCCTCACGGGAGAGGTTGCTGAGGAGGCGTTGGGCTGCACGGTAAATACCAAAAGGGAAGAAATGTATTGAAGTATTTCCAAATTGAATTCTCTTCCCCAATAATACAGGTTATTTTGGTGAACATTTGATAGAAATTCGTCCATAAGGAAGTCTGGGAAAAATTCCTCTTGATTTAGACATTCTGGTTTAGTGAATAGTTGCACGCTGTGTATTAAAACCTTAGTCAACAGTGACTGCTATGGGTAATAACTGAAGGTTTTAGAGGGCTGTGCAAATAAACATGGTATTTTACATAGTCAGGTAGCCATAGCTAGAGCAACATGCTAGAGATGTCAGTCAGTCAGGGGGGCTCTTCCAGAAGGAGGCTTTAGAGATGTTTAACCTACTCAGCCTTTTTAAATTTAATTTTAAAAATTTATTTATCTGTTTGTTGTGTCTTTCAAGCTGCCACGTCTGGGACTTGAACCATGGTCAGCCATGTGGGAATGCATTGCCTTAACCACCATGCTACTTGCTGGTCCCCCACTTAGTCTTACAAGTCAGCTGTGAGTCTTCTCCCTGGTCTGCAGCTATACAATTTAGAGATTAGCACATGTATTTGTCAGTGGGCACTGGCTTTTTATTGTTAAAAGCCAGCTTATGAAATTTACCACTAAACTCAGATTTCTGTTTCCACCTTTTTGTTTGTTTGTTTCCACTTTATTGAGAGGTTTTCCTTGCTGAGCCACTCTATTCGCTTTAGAGGTTCAGTTGATAGCTTTTCTTGCCTTATTTCCTGTATCAAAAGAACTGAACTACAATTGTGCTCAATAAAATCCTATTTGGGGCCGGCTCCGTGGCCTAGTGGTTAAGGCAGCTGGATCCCACATGGCTGAGTGCATGGTTCAAGTCCTGGCCCTGGCTGCTTGAGAAACACATGTGCACTCAAATTCCCAAGAGGAGGGAGAGGTGGAAAAGGGATTGTGATAAGGCCATGCCCCATGGGGGCTGCTTTATCTGCTATCTCTGTCTCTCCCTCTAACATCAACGACAAAAAAATTCCCTTTCTAGTGAGCTAATTAAGTTCCACATTGTTGGCAAAATGAGTCATCTATGTAGACTTGAGAAGTAATTTGTCTGATTCTTTTTCAACCAGGTAAATGAGTTTCTTGCAATGACAGATGAACAGAAAACAGCACTAAAATGGCAATTTCTTTTGGAAAGAAGCAAAGTATATTTAAAAGTTGGTATATTTACAGTACCGTGTTACCCTCTATATTGAAACAATGGAAAACTTACGTAAATTAAATTAGGGATGTTTTTATACTTAGGTAAATATAAGTTAGGGGTTTTTTGTTTGTTTGCTGCCATAAAGGCAGCACATGTGAATCCCACATGTGCTTGTGGTGGTTGCGGGGAGAGAGAGAGTGAAAAGTTACTCCCCAGGGTGGGTGACCATGTTGCAATCCCTTCTCCTCTATTCCCCTCTTGGTATTTTTAGGCATACACACACATATGGTGTGAGTTTCAAGCTGCCGAGTCTGACCAAAACCACAGTCAACCATGTGGGGATCCAGCACTTTAACCACTATGGCACCCGCTGGCCCCAAAGAAAAGTTTAAAACATATTAATGAGCACACGTTCCACTAGTAGGCAGAACAATGTCAGCTCAGGTGATGCCGCCTTTAGAAAATGATGTGCGGGCCAGCCCTTGGCCTGGTGGTTAAGATGGCTGGATCCCACATGGCTGACAAGGTTCACGTTCTGACCCAGTGGCTTGAAAAACATACTGGAGGCAGGAACAGCAGGTGGCGTAGTGGTTATGTCACTGGACTCTCACATGGCCAACTGAGGTTTGAGTCCCAGACCTGGTGGCTTCAAAATCACACTGGGTGTGTGTGTGTGCCCAAGATTGTAGGAGGAGAATGGAGGAAAAGGGATTGCAGCGTGGCCATCCTCCCCAGGAGATGATCTCTCACTTTCCCTGTCTCCATCTCTCTGGTAAGCATGCACCCCTAAAGCAAAAACCTATTAAAAAAAAAAAAAGGAAAGGAGAACATACTGGATGTACATATGTGTATCCCCAAAGTCCCCAAAAGAAGGAGAAAGGATTGAGGTGTGACCATGCCACATGGGGGTGCTTTCTCACACTCTCTCTCTAGTGAATGTATATGCCCTTTGGCAAATTAAAAAAAAAAACACATAAACTAGAACCAACAGATGGTGTAATGGTTACGTTGCTGGACTCCCACATAGTCTACTGCCGTTCGAACCCTGGACCCATCAACTTAAAACTCACGCCGGGCGCGTGTGCGTGCGTGCCCAAGATCCCAAGAGGAGAATGGAGGAGAAGGGACTGTGGTGTGGCCATCCCCCCCAGGGGGTGATTATTTTTCGCTTTCTGTCTCTCTTTCTCTGTCTCTCTGGCAAGCTCACATGCCCTAGAGCAAAAACATCTCTTAAAAAATAAATATTATAAAAAGTAAATAAAAAATAAACAGTGGGTATTGATTAGAGAATGAGAATGAAAGAGGCAGACACCTCAGAATTACTATGAAAATAGCTTTGATCTGGGACCAGCAGTTAGTGTAATGGCTATGTCGCTGGACTCCCACGTAGTCGACCGTGGTTTGCGTCCTGGACCCGGTGGCTTAAAACTCATGCCAGGTGCGTGTGCGTGCGTGCCCAAGATCCCAAGAGGAGAATGGAGGAGAAGGGATTGCGGCGTGACCATCCCCCCTGGGGGGGTAATTTCTTGCTTTCTGTCTCTCTGTCTCTCTCTGTCTGGCGAGTGCATGCGCCCTATAGCGAAAATCTCTCTAAACAAACAAACAAACAACAAAAAAACCCAGAATGTGTCATTTAAAAAACAAGAATGTATGGGCCAGCCATAGTGTGGTTGTAAAGGCAGCTGAATCCCACATGGCTGACTGCATGGTTTGAGCCCAGGACCTGGTGGCTTGAAAAGACGTCCCAGGTGCTCATGTGTCATGCCCAAAATCCTGAGAGGAAATGGAAGGGATGGCAGTGTGGCCATGCCCCAAGGGTGCTTTTTTACTTTCTCTCTCTCTCTCTGTCTGTCTCTCTCTGGTGAGTACATATGCCCTATAGCCAATTAAAAGAAAGAAAGAACTTACATTGCTTGGCTAATATGTTAAAAACAATGTATTTTTTTGGAGAGGTTTTCGCTATAGGGCGCGTGCGCTCGCCAGACAGAGACAGACAGAGAGACAGAAAGCGAGAAATCACCCCCCGGGGGGGAGGGCCACTCCACAATTCCTTCTCCTCTCGGGATCTTGGGCACACATGCACACGTGCCTGGCATGCCACTGGGTCCAGGACTCAAACCGCGACCAACTACATGGGAGCCCAGCGACATAGCCATTAGGCCAACTGCTGGTCCCAACAATGTATTCTTATATGCATTGAACATTTTAAATATTCATCATGCCTTAATTAAAAATAACACCTACTTAAAATGGTTCTTTTGGGTTTCAAAGAGAGGTATTCATTTTAATGTTTTCAAATATATAGTAATATTATTATGTCCCTATAAATCTGATTTTAGTGTTAAAGAATTATTTCCAAAAAGAGTAAAGCCTTGAACACTCATTAAAGATTTAAGTCATTAATTACTGAAGGAATCAGTAAGTTGCGGGGAAAAGGAGAGGTTCAAAGATAATCAGGGAAACTAGGCACGTACGTGGGCAATCAGAATCACCGAAACTTTTGCTTAAGATGCAACAGTGCTCTCTCGCCCAGGGTGGAAGCGAGGCATCTCCACCAGGTGAAAGATGCGGGGCTTTCCTTTCCATGAGCCAGGGTCATGTGGTCTCTGCGGGCTCCCTCCAGCCGCAGTTACAGACCAGCTCAGCCGGTGCAGTGGGCAGTGCAGACCTGCTTAGGGGCAGACCACTCTGAAGGTACTCCCACCAGCACGAGACCTGGGAGCATGCCTTTGAGAGAGTGCCCAGCTACGTTTACTGGCCAAGGAGTTATTTGTAATTTTTAGAAAAGAATGATTATTTCTTCATGTATTTGTATTTGACCAAGAGAGAGAGAGACAGTAAGAAAGCTAGCTGGACTTGGGCCGCGGTTGGTCACATGGGAGTCTGCTGTCTCAACCGGCACCACCTACCGACCCTCCACTGGCCATTTAAAACGTTCCACAGTTCTTTCCAAGGCGAGTACACTTTCCTCAGTCTTTGAAACTGAACTGGTGGATGTGTCTTTCTGCTCTATATTAACTAAAACGCTAGTGGAATTGCTTTGTAAATGATATGAAACAAGATAGTGTTATTAATAAATTGTATTGGGACCAGCAGTTAGCGTAATGGCTATGTCGCTGAACTCCCATATAGTCAACCGCAGTTCGAGTCCCAGACCCGGTGGCTTAAACTCATGCCGGGCGCGTGTGCATGCTTGCCCAAGATCCTGAGAGGAGAATGGAGGAGAAGGGATTGAGGTGTGGCCATCTCCTCTGGGGGGTGATTTCTCGCTTTCTATCTCTCTGTCTCTCTGTCTTTCTGGTGAGTGCACGCACCCAATAAGAAAAAAAAAAAAGAAAGAAAAAAAATTGTGCCACCCTGTCCTGTAGTTTCATATCATGTCACTGGTACAGGCTAATGCTAGCACAGCCATTGGTCGGGACATGCTATGTCCTTTTTCTTTTCTTTTTTGACAGATTTTTGTTATAGGGTGTTTGTGCTCAACAGAGAGACAGAAAGCAAGAAATCACCCCCCAGGGGACGGCCACACTGCAATGCCTTGTCCTCTATTCTCTTCTTGGGATTTTGAGCATACATGCGCACACGCCTGGTGTTGAGTTTTAAGTCGCCTTGTCCGGGACTCGAACTGCAGTCAATTATGCGGAAGTCCAACGATGTAACCATTACACCATCTGTTGGTCCCTCTATATCCTTTTTCTATAAGTTGAGGTTGGAATCCCAACTCTCCGACCTGAGAGAAATGTCAGGCACTAGGACATGGGTTTTTACAAAATGACCGTCAGAAGTTCGATCCATGGTTTCTCGGCTGCACTCTGCCTGAGACCAGAACACTTTCTGTTGGCGTAGGAGTGTGGCTGAAGCTTACATTACATCTGTAAATGAGGCTTGTGCAGCTGGTGGTGATCGTTGGTTTTGACATCATCTACAATTAGATAGTAAAACTAACCCTCTGCCTCTCCTTTCCCTGTAGTTTGTCTTGTCACAAAGAGCACGGGCCGGACTGAGGATTAGCGTCCTCGCCTGTAAACTTGCAGATCCTGTTGAGGCCAGCAGGAACTTGTCTGGACGAGGGCGTGTTTAAACCACATATTACTTTAAACTCTAGAAAAGTACAGGAGTTGTAACTCACTTTAAAATGGAATATTGGTTGGAAAATTATGGACAAAATTGTGTTTTGTTGCCGTCCCCTCCTGCCTGGAAGAGATGCACAAGAGTTAATAAACCCGTTTGTTCTTCCACGCAGATGAGGATGCTTTCTTTCCTTAAGCCACTTTGCTCTGTCTCAGCTCCCTGGGGAAAGCTAGACCCTGAGCTACCACTTAGCTTTTGCAGTGGCTCGTCATCTCACAGGTCACTGTTGGGGCTCCCTGGACAGCGGCGGGGACAACAGCCGTTGTGGGCAGCATTGGGCAGCTGCCTCGGCGCCACAGAGCAGTCTGACCTCTCTCCTGGGATGACGCTCTGAGTGACCAAGCGCCAGCATAGGCTGAGTCAGCAGGGAGGAGACCAACTTCTTAAGGTGCGTGGGCAGCTCCTGACTCTCAGAAGCTCTGCAGGGGCCGCTGCACAGTGTTAGGGCGACAGCCACCCTTCGCCTCAGCTTTATCTGCTGCTAGCTCCTCGACTTGCTTTGGCACAGACCCCTGCTTGTGAAGCCCCACCACTAACACAGCTCTGACATACACCGTCTGGAAGGCTTGGCCTACGTACGTTAGGTCTAGCCCTTCTGAAGGCTGCGCATCATTTGCCGCAGGGCTGGGAAAAAGTGAGTACGTGGGACTTGCACAGAGCTGCCGTGGGACTTGCACAGAGCTGCTGTGGAGAGCTTACCTGTTCAGCGAGGCGTCCTCTGGCTTTCACCTTGTACAGCCACGGGGAGGGATGGGAGCTGCCCCAGGTGTGTCCTGGGGGTGGTTCTGTGCCACAGGAGAAAGGGTTGGGCCTTGCTGTACAAAATGGGCCTGGTGAAATCTTCCCCTGCCCCTCCAGGAGGAGAAAGGGCTTGCTGAGCAACGTGAGTCGTGAATGGGCGGTGGATAGGCAAAGGAGGGTGAAGAAGGCAGGGGCTAGCCCAGGCACTGGGCGAGGGGCGGGGACAGGAGGCAGGTGGGCTGAGGGCGCAGCCAGCACAGATTCCCACTGGGTCTGTGCCCAGAACTCGGGGTGAGGAGGGACGTGGCCCCAATGGTGCGGGAGCTGGCGCCCTGACCTGTGGCAGCGGGTCCCCAACACTGGGCCTGGGCTCCTCCAGTGCTCGGCCTCACAGCACTGGCTGCTGTGCTGCTGGCATCAGGTGCGGGATGCCGATGTTCTCGCAGCGGGGCATCAGCAGTGCCAGCTCCTCAGCCCAGCCTGGAGCCCCCAGTCTGGCATCCCAGTGCGTCCAGGTTGTGCAGAAAGTCGTCCTTGAACATGGTCAAGTGCAAGGTGGCATGGGCCCTTTTTCCTAGGCAATCTGGCAAAGTATCGAAGTTCTAAAGTACAAACTATGTAAGCCCTTTCACCTCTAAGTTTTCCTCTGAGGAAATGAACAAGGGCCAGATGATGGGTACTTGTATCATTGTTCCTAACAGCAAGCGTCTGAAACCTGTGCGGCCTGAACAGGGCTCTCCAGTTTCATGGGGCTAGCAGGCGGCACGGTGGTTGAGGCACTGGACTCCCACGTGGCTGACGGTGGTTCAAGTCCTGACCTGGATGCTTGCTTTCTCACCTTCCCTCTCTTTCCGTTTCTCCCTTTCTCATCTCTCCCTGGTGAGTGCATGTGACCTATAGCAAGTCAAATAATAAGAGTAAATAAAATTAAATTAATAAAAAACAAAAACAAAAAAGGGATCTCCAGTCCCACCCAGACCTCCTTTACAGTGTGAATTAACCCCTCAGCCCCTTTGTCTCTGCTTTATTTGTAGTAGCCCCGGAGTATACCGCTAGCTCCTTGCCTCCCTGCCATTCCAGGGGCCTGCTTCGGGTCACAGACTCCTCCCTGTAGAGCCCCAGCACTGCTGTCAGCTTGTGGGTCTGGACCAATCTCTCAGCTTCTGTGAGGCCAGAGAATCGCCTGGAGAGGTGAGAGCGCAAGGGGAGCAGATTCTGGTGCCCACAGACTCCGCTCCAGAGCGCCCTCGAGACCACCAGCACCCTGAAGCTCGTCCCAAGCTCCAAGGCCACTTTTTAGAGCCTCTCCCTTTCGGCTTCCTTCACTGTCCATCTCCCGAGTGCACTCCTCAGTGAGTTACCGGAACCAGGTCTCCACCTTAGCTCTGCTTCCGGGGCGCGTGTTCGAAGCTACAGCACCAGCAATGACCATGCTCACCTATACTCACTGGCCTGGAAGATGTTCATGATGTATTAAAGGGAGGTATGATGCTCATATTTATAAATGCCCAATGAACAGGCTTTTTAAAAGACTTATTTCAACTTTATTATATTCTAATTTGACCAGAGAGAGATGGGGTGGGGGGCTGTGAGAAAGCTAGTCACCAGGTCTGAGATCTGAACCATGGTTGGCCATGTGGGAGTCCAGCGCCTTTAACCACCATGCCACTTGCCGGCCCGAAATGAACAGGTTTTTAAAAAGCACTGGAAGAACAGCCGTCAAGTCACGTGTCCTCTGTGCTACTGTGTGCAGAGTGTGCTCCTCAGTGTGATGGCAGCTCCTTTCCTTACGGGAGAACGGCCCTGTTCTCAGGAGATGCCTGTGAGGGGGCAGTGCTTCCTGCAGGCCCCTGCACAAGGGGTTTCCAAGATGAGGGGTGTGCGTGCATGAGTGTACATGCACAGACGAATGCCCACACAGGCTGTGCCCCACAGCGTAAGGCACACGTAGCTGGGACCAGCGGGTGGCGGGGCGCTCACGTTTCTAGACCCCCACATGGCCGGCTGTGGTTCAAGTTCCAGACCCAGTGACCTGGAAATCATGCCCGCTGTGTGTGCGTGCGTGCCCAAGATCCTGGGGGAGAAGGGGAAGGGGTTGTGGTGTGACCATGCTCCCTGGGAGGGTGACTTCTCACTTTCCCTCTCACTGTCTCTGTCTCCGGCGAGCACGCACGCTCATGGAAATGTGTGTTATGAAAAAAACTATCTGTGGGCTTCAACAATTTTTTGCACCATGCTAAACTTGTATTTAATTCCACTTTTTTCATAACATTTTGAAGTCTTCTGTACAGAGGACAAACAGCAGATGTTGACAATAGCTGAATGTAGTGAAGGGCACATGGAGCTCACTGCATTAGTCTTTCAACGTCCTCATAGGCTTTTATTCAAAATAAGACGCTAGGGAGAGAAGGATCTGGGTGCTGGGGTTACTGGTTGTGGTGACATCAGGACTTCTATTAGCGTCTCGGTTCTGGAGTCTTACACCCAGGGCTTTGTGTGCCACATGCACCAGCCCTGTGGTGCTGTTGGGTGTGTGTGACAGAAACTTGTCGCACCACTAGGGTGAGCAACATCGCCCCAGAGGTGCCGTGCACTCCCTGGGTGCTGGCTTAAGGCTGCCCTACCCCACTGGGGCTGCACGCCAACGCTGCCCCTACCCCACTGGGGGCTGCATGCCAACGCTGCCAACGCTGCCCCTACCCCACTGGGGCTGCACGCCAACGCTGCCCCTACCCCACTGGGGGCTACCCGCCAACACCG